AGATGGGGCTGACAAGGCCCATCCCCACCACCCGAATAAACTGTCACTTGCTCCGTCAGCATGGCCTTTACCACCACCCAGCCCCCTTTTCAGGAAGACTAGGCAGCCCCCACATCCCTCGCCTGCGACCCTCTGACGGGGCGCTTGGCCATTTCCCTATCTGTGGCTAGCAGATAGGGCCACCGTTTAGCTTGAAATCCGGACCAAAGAGGGCGTGTTGCCTCTCGCCACTATATACCCCAGCGACGATCGGCTCAACCCTCCAGGACTCCTTCATCCCCGCGTACGGCGCTCGACTGCGCAGGTCCTAGCGCAGGTGGGTGTGTTAGTCCACCGGATACACCCACTCTCTCCGGCGGATTCGTCCCCTCCTCCTTTCTCATCCGGGCTTGGGACCGGCAACGGCGGAGTTGGCACCAATTAAATTGTTCATTGCAATTTTAAGTGCTGAGTTACCACGTGCTCGGCGCTCAAGGAAAATATTGTGAGGAAACCTGTGACTGAGAAATAAAAAAAATATTTCGAAGACCTGAAGTCCGCTAACACGCATGGGGGCAGTGTGGCGGAAGCTTCTACGTGGTAGAGCCATGCTGCAGCTATATTAATAGTATAGTTGTAGCACGAATGGGTCGGCTCGACCGGGGAAAGACCACGCTCCCACAGAAGACTAGCGTAAAATAGCAGCTTAATGCTGCTGTGTTTCGTATGGTGAGTGTAGAGGACCGGAGACCCATTTTATTGGAAAAGAGGCATTCTATCTTAGTCCTCACGGCTGAAAACGCATCTGCAATTTAATTCGCAAACGAAGATAGATGTAGATGTCTATGGGCCACAGCAACCACTTATCATCATCATTAGCATCAGGTGGACTGCGTGCTCGTTTGTCACGCTTATTCTGTATTCCCGTATTCTGTTTTCTGAGGAGGCCTGTCACCCAGCAGTCACTGACGTATATAGGCTGTAACTTCACTTCTGTTTAAAATTATTAATATATCCGTTAATAAATTTAATTGTGTTAGAATATATGTATGTCTACATGAGATTAACAAATTATCATCAGACAGTTAACTGTTGGTAGTAAGTAATGTAACGTATGCACTAAGATTGTAAGGCGGGATTTAAAAAGAGCCCTGTAAAATATTAAAAACTGTGCACTATGCGCTCAGCCTTCGCTTGGACTTGAGACGTTGCATCTTTTGCGCGTTATTTATCATTGAATTGTTGTGAATGGCTTCCATGAAGAGGTCTTTGAATGAAACTCATTGAGTATAGTTGTCAGAAAATTCAGGAATTTCCATTTTTGGCGCAGATGTTTCATAATGAATATTTGACCAGATTCTCGAGTTTAAAATTCGTCGAATCTCGTCATACTTGTCTTCCATCTCGACAAATATGTTGTAGTATTTGACGTTAGAGCATTTGTACTTAGATTCTAATTCCCAATGTAGTTTTTCAATGACTCGAATGATGTCGAGAATCGATCGAGACTAAACCCGCTCGGGGCAAACAGAGCAATAAGTCAAAGGCACGCTATCCGTGAATTTCTTCAACATCAGGGGACTTCATTCAAACCTTAACGCCGTCCATTAAGGTACGTTGGGGTAATACCGGACGGATTTTCGAATAGTTGGAAGAGTCTGCCAAAAACTTTAATTTCTCGACATTCGTATACGTCAGATTTATGGAACATGGAGCAAACCGTTAATCGTTAAACGTAGTTTAGCTCTGAGAATCTTTTGCTTGTGTAAACTCAACGGTTTCTGCTTTAAAGGTGTGCAAAAACTAGACATACTTTTTTATATGCATAATGAAAAATTGGCCATTAAGGGGTAAGACCGGACTTAAATTTAAAACCACTTCTACTGCTTAGAGAAAAAAGTTTATAAAAGAGATTTGTCCTATCTTTAACGCTTAAAAACATATTTCAATATGATCTGTAAATTACTAGTAACATAAATGTTCCAAACGATTTTCTCTTTTTTTGTTTCTTGCCATCCGATCTTATCCCTGATATAAAGAAATTGTAATTTTATGTTTCTCAAACTTTGTTATGACATAAGATGGAATTACTCAATATAAGAGAAAGATCGGATGCATTTGATTTTATACGGGAAAAAAAATAACAGTAAGGACTGGCGAAATGCCCTGGGATAATGCAGGAGTTAAGGAAGATATAAATATTTTAACAAAGCGGCATTTATTATTATAAATTATTTTTTAAATAATTATTATAAATTACATTTTGATTTGTAATAGGGGATAGATATAGATGTCTATGGGCCGCAGCAATCACTTAACATCAGGTGGACTGTGTGCTCCTTTGTCACCCTTATCCTATAAAAAAAAATTATTTTAATGTGTACTTAAAAGTAATAAAACCATCGTATTATTTTATTACTTTTAAATATACAGACTTGCTAACGAGACTGAGTCCCATAGTCACTTGAGTAATCAACGAAAAAATATACACGACCAATGAAAGTTTAACAACCACTGCCATATTTGTAACAGGCAAAGATCGGATAATATTCATCCGATCTTCACTCACGAGGGGAAACATCGGATCTCGGCCTACAGCGATCTTAGCCCTGCATGGACTAGCTTTATTTAGCGATAACTTCATAAAAATTAGTATCCACACAAAATAATAACAAAAGAAGCCATATTCTCGCTAAAAATCGTAAATAAAAGTGATAGGGAAAGATCGGATGGACAAAAATAATACAAAAATTACATTGTTTTATAAAATGCCACGCAGCACAGGTCCCACTTGCCGGAGTGACTGGCGCGAACTGAGGGTCGGGGCAGGATGAAATGGCGTCGTGTAGCATATTGTTAGCTTTTCAAAATATAGCATAATTCGCCGGGAATTTGAATCCTACGGTCTTGCCCCATCACCGATCTTACCCCAACGTACCTTACCATCTGGAAATGGCAAAGCCGGCCTTGTTCTTTCTAACCGAGACACAGGTGTCCTCTCCGGCTGATACTTCGTATCTCTCCTTACCGGGGTTCAAATTAGAACACTCCTTTGTGCCCCGGCCTAGAGTTTGCGTGTACTTCAGAGAGGACATCTCTTTTCGACGCCTCAGCGGCTTTGAAGGTACGGACCTGTCCATCTTATAGCTGCGCGTAGACAGTAACGACCATCCCCACGTCTACGGGTGCCTCTGTAGGTCCGATAGTGGCAAAGCCGACACAGACCGACTCATCGACCACGTCCAAATGGCTGCAGACTCCGTGCTATCGTACTACAACAGGTGCCATCCGCAGAGATCGTGATACTTGGTGATTTTAACGCCCATCACGCTGAATGGCTTGATACTCGTTTAACCCATCATGCGGGTGGATCTGTTTATGACTTTGCTTTGGCATATGGTCTGACACAACTGGTTATCTCGCCTACGCGGATCCCAGATATGGAAGATCATGTACCTTCCCTTTTGGACCTTCTGCTCACCTCTCATCCGGACGGATATTAGGTCTCCGTCGATTCCCCTCTTGGCTCCTCGGACCATTGTCTGATCCGGAGTATGGTGCCACTCACGCTCCCATCGCAGTTGCGTTTTGCAGGTTGCCGCCGTGTTTGGCATTATAGGTCTGCCGATTGGGACGGGATGCGATCTTTTTTGCATTCTACCCTTGGATCTTGATTCTGTCGCTGATGTGGTGCTACAGGGAATGGAACTATTTATTCTATCATCTGTGGTACCTATCGGAGGCAGAACACAGTCATGGTTTGGTCGCTCTTGCAAAATTGCATTACGCCATAAGCAAGACTTGGTAGCAAGCATGGGCTCACGCATCGACGTCTCGGGATGCAAATACCAGCGCTCTTAAAAAGAAGTATAATTTCGCCTCCAGGTTCTTCAAAAGTGTCATTGGCAAGGCAATATCAGAGCACATCGGCAGAATTGGCGAGAAACTAGTTCGTCTTCCTTCGGGAACACATGCATTCTGGTCTCTCGCCAAGACTGTCTAAGGGAACTTCTGTCAGCCATCTCTCCCATCTCTGCACAGGGAGGACGACTCACTGGCCCATGCCGCAAAGGACAAAGCCGATCTGCTGGACTCTCTCTTTGAGTCCAACTCGACTTTTGATGACGGGAGCAACACATCGCCGACCATCCCGCGGTGTGAGTGCTCCATGCATGATGTGCTGTTTACCCAACGCTCGGTGCGCAGAGCCTTCCTCTCCCTGGACGTCAACAAGTCGAGTGGGCCTAATGGCGTCCCTCCTATTGTGCTGAAGACCGTGTGCTCCAGAGTTAGCACCGGTTTTAACTCGTCTTTTCCCGATCACAAGCCTATTAACGTTGGTGTTTCACAAGTAGGGGCCAATTGGAGACACCGGGTTACGATACATTTTCAACTACCGGGCATATCTCCTTCTTTTATTATATCTATGATTATATTAATGTATAATGAATAAAATTATTCTATTCTATTAAAATTTTATTTTGTTGTTACAGTAGGTACAGTTTCTTGAATTTATCGACCATTGCTTAGTGGCTATTGATTATGATGATTATTATGATTGGAATCATATTATGATTGTACGTGGTAGAGCCATGCTGGAGCTATATTAGTAGTATAGTTGTAGCACGAATGGGTCGGCTCGACCGCGGAAGGACCACGCTCTCACAGAATACCAGCGTCAAATAGCAGCTTCATGCTGCTGTGTTTCGTATGGTGAGTGTAGAGAACCGGAGACCCATTTTACTGGAAAAGAGGCATTCCATTTTAGTCCCAAACGCATTTGCATTTTGATTCTTTATTGAGGATAGATGTAGATGTCTATGGGTCACAGCAACCACTTACCATCAGGTGGACTGTGTGCTGGTTTGTCACCCTATCCTATAAAAAAAAAGCCAAGTAGTGTATAATCACGTCAGTCTGTCGTGTGAAGTGTGATATTGTATCTGCAGCTCTTAGTTTGCGGTGGGCTGCAGGCGTAGTGGTTATGGGTGGTGTGATAATGACAATTGGTGGTTGTACAGCGATGAGCCGCGAGGAACGACAGGCGCGTGACGAGGCGATGGCTGGCGGGCGGCGGCGGGAGGAGGGTGGTGGTGGGGGCGGGGGTGGCGCGGGCGCGGGGGCGGGGGCGGGGCCGTCGCGCCGCGCCGCGCAGCAGGCCGCCGCGCACCCCGCGCACGCCGCGCACGCGCCCGCCGGCGACGCCGAGCGGTCAGTGCACGCACACACACACACGCACGCACACTCTTACACGCATACAAAGTATTCTTATTCACACTCTTCCATAAGTCCGCCCGTTATCAAAAAGATGCTGATGCCCATCTCCTGTTTCAGTTTCCTTCTGTCGAGACCCATTTCTTACGACTTCCACAGGATAATACGAGGTAGTGTTCTTACACCGCCACTACGTGGTTTTATTTTAAACTAGCTGTTCTCCGCGACTTTGCTCGCGTGTAATTTAGTTACTGCCAGTGAAAATCCCGTCAAAATCGGTCGCTCCTGTAAGACTACATTACGCAGTAAGCGGCTTCGGCGACTCGGGATGTAAACACCAGCATACTTAAAAAGAAGTATTACTTCGCCTCCAGGTCCTTTAAAAGAGTTATTGCCAAGGCAAAGTCAGAGGACATAGGCAGAATTGGCGAGAAACTAGTTTGCCTTCCTTCGGGAATCCGTGCATTCTGGTCTCTCGCCAAGGCTGTCCAAGGGAATTTCTGTAAGCCATCACTACCATCTCTGCACAGGGAGGACGACTCACTGGCCCACGACGCAAAGGAGAAAGCCGACCTTTTAGGCTCCCTTTTTGCGTCCAACTCGACTGTTGATGACGGGGGAGCACACCGCCGACCATCCCGCGGTGTGAGTGCTCCATGCCGGATGTGCGGTTCTCACAGTGCTCGGTTCGCATAGCACTCCTCTCCCTTAACATCCACAAGTCGAGTGGGCCTGACGGAATACCCCAATTGTGCTGAGGACGTGTGCTCCGGAGTTGGCACCGGTTCTAACGCGTCTTTTCCGGTACTCCTACTCCCTTGGCGTAGTCCCAAAATCATGGAAGACAGCTTTTGTCCACCCGATCCCTAAAAAAGGCGACCGCTCAGACCCGTCAAACTACAGGCCTATCGCCATCACCCCCTTGTTCTCCAAAATAATGGAATCCGTTATAAACTGCCACCTCATGCGGTACCTTAAAGATCACCAGCTGATTAGTGACCGCCAGTACGGTTTTCGTCGGGGTCGATCAGCTGGTGATCTTCTGGTCTACTTAACTCATAGATGGGCGGAGGCAGTAGAGTTCATGGGGGAGGCATTGGCCGTTAGTTTGGACATTGCGAAGGCCTTCGATCGGGTTTGGCACAAAGCGCTTCTTTCGAAGCTCCCTTCCTATGGGCTTACCGAGAAATTATGCAATTCGATCACCTGCTTTCTTGCACATCGGGGCATCAAGGTCGTTGTAGATGGTGCATGCTCCGACTACAAGCCTATTAACGCTGGTGTTCCACAAGGCTGCGTGCTGTCACCAACGCTGTTTCTTCTGCATATCAATTATATGTTCCAAGCCGGTAGCATTCATTGCTATGCGGATGACAGCACTGGTGATGCTCTAAACACCGGCCGTGCCAATATTTCTCGGGAAAACGTCACCGAGTGCCGGAACAAACTTGTGTCTGAAGTCGAGTCTTTGCTGGACAAAGTCTCGGATTGGGGGCGACTAAATCTAGTCCAGTTTAATCCTCAGAAGACACAAGTTTGCGCGTTTACCGCTAAAAAGAAGAAAAGAGTCTACTCCTTTTTAAAAGGCCGGCAACGCATCTGCGATTCCCCTGGTGTTGCGGTTGTTCATGGGCGACGGTAGTAACTTACCATCAGGTGAGCCGCATGCTCGTTTGCCCCCTCTCCTATAAAAAAAAGTCTGAATGCTTATATCTGTACAGTATGTCTGTAAAAATTGACTAGCGCTTGGTTAATATTTGTACAATGAGAGTATCACTTGTACAGAACTCGGGCGTTATTCGTACAGTGAGAGAGTAACATGGTTTGGCGCTATGTTATCGTGTGTATAGTGCGACAGTAAGACGGTACGGGTCGGTTGCGTTGTGTTGCAGCGCGGCGCGGCCGGGCGAGCCGGGCTGGGTGTCGCGAGCGCGCGTGCCGCTGCCGTCCAACAAGGACTACGTCGTGCGCCCTCGCTCCACCTGCGACACCGACATGTCGCGCGTGAGTGCACACACCCACCCACTCACTCACCCCCTCACTCACCCCCTCACTCCTCACCCACTCACTCACCTGATCACTGCCCGGGAATCCGGCGCGCACGCGTGTCGCTGCCGTCCAACAAGGACTAAGTCGTGCGCCCCCGCTCCACCTGCGACACCTACAAGTCGCGCGTGAGTGCACACACCCACCCACTCACTCACCCCCTCACTCACCCCCTCACTCACCCACTCACTCATCCGCTCACTGCCCGGGCATCCGGCGCGCACGCGTGTCGCTGCCGTCCAACAAGGACTACGTCGTGCGCCCCCGCTCCACCTGCGACACCGACATGTCGCGCGTGAGTGCACACACCCACCCACTCACTCACCCCCTCACTCACCTCCTCACTCACCCACTCACTCACCCGCTCACTGCCCGGGCATCCGGCGCGCACGCGTGTAGCTGCCGTCCAACAAGGACTAAGTCGTGCGCCCCCGCTCCACCTGCGACACCTACATGTCGCGCGTGAGTGCACACACCCACCCACTCACTCACCCTCTCACTCACCCCCTCACTCACCCACTCACTCATCCGCTCACTGCCCGGGCATCCGGCGCGCACGCGTGTCGCTGCCGTCCAACAAGGACTACGTCGTGCGCCCCCGCTCCACCTGCGACACCGACATGTCGCGCGTGAGTGCACACACCCACCCACTCACTCACCCCCTCACTCACCCCCTCACTCACCCACTCACTCACCTGCTCACTGCCCGGGCATCCGGCGCGCACGCGTGTCGCTGCCGTCCAACAAGGACTACGTCGTGCGCCTCCGCTCCACCTGCGACACCGACATGTCGCGCGTGAGTGCACACACCCACCCACTCACTCACCCCCTCACTCACCCCCTCACTCACCCCCTCACTCACACCCTCACTCACCCCCTCACTCTCCCCCTCACTCACCCCCTCACTCACCCCTCACTCACCCCCTCACTCACCCCCTCACTCACCCCCTCACTCACCCCCTCACTCACCCCCACACTCACCCCCTCACTCACCCCCTCACTCACCCCCTCACTCACCCCCTCATTCACCCACTCACCCGCTCACTGCCCGGGCATCCGGCGCGCACGCGTGTCGCTGCCGTCCAACAAGGACTACTTCGTGCGCCCCCGCTCCACCTGCGACACCGACATGTCGCGCGTGAGTGCACACACCCACCCACTCACTCACCCCCTCACTCACCCCCTCACTCACCCACTCACTCACCCGCTCACTGCCCGGGCATCCGGCGCGCACGCGTGTCGCTGCCGTCCAACAAGGACTACGTCGTGCGCCCCCGCTCCACCTGCGTCACCGACATGTCGCGCGTGAGTGCACACACCCACCCACACACACCCCCTCACACACCCCCTCACTCACCCCCTCACTCACCCCCTCACTCACCCACTCACTCACCCGCTCACTGCCCGGGCATCCGGCGCGCGCGCGTGTCGCTGCCGTCCAACAAGGACTACGTCGTGCGCCCCCGCTCCACCTGCGACACCGACATGTCGCGCGTGAGTGCACACACCCACCCACTCACTGACCCACTCACTAACCCACTCACTCACACCCTCACTCACCCCCTCACTCACACCCTCACTCACCCCCTCACTCACCCGCTCACTGCCCGGGCATCCGGCGCGCGCGCGTGTCGCTGCCGTCCAACAAGGACTACGTCGTGCGCCCCCGCTCCACCTGCGACACCGACATGTCGCGCGTGAGTGCACACACCCACCCACACACACCCCCTCACACACCCCCTCACTCACCCCCTCACTCAACCCCTCACTCACCCACTCACTCACCCGCTCACTGCCCGGGCATCCGGCACGCGCGCGTGCCGCTGCCGTCCAACAAGGACTACGTTGTGCGCCCCCGCTCCACTTGCGACATCGACATGTCGCGCGTGAGTGCACACACTCACCCACTCACTCACCCCCTCACTCAATCCCTCACTCACCCCCTCATTCACCCACTCACTCACCCGCTCACTGCTCGGGCATCCGGCACGCGCGCGTGCAGCTGCCATACAACAAGGATTACGTCGTGCGCCCCCGCTCCACCTGCGACACCGACACGTCGCGCGTGAGTGCTCACGCCCACCCACTCACTCACCCCGTCACTCACCCACTCACACCCGCTCACTGCCCGGGCATACGGGGCGCGCGCGTGTCGCTGCCGTCCAACACGGACTTCGTCGTGCGCCCCCGTTCCACCTGCGACACCGACATGTCGCGCGTGAGTGCACACACCCACCCACTCACTCACCCCCCTCCCTCATCCCCTCACTCACCCCCTCACTCACCCACTCACCCCTCACTCACCCCCTCACTCACCCTCTCACTCACCCGCTCACTGCCCGGGCATCCGGTGCGCGCGCGTGTCGCTGCCGTCCAACAAGGACTACGTCGTGCGCCCCCGCTCCACCTCCGAAACCTACATGTCGCGCGTGAGTGCACACACCCACCCACTCACTCACCCCCTTACTCACCCCCTCACACACCCACTCACTCACCCGCTCTCTGCCCGGGCATCCGGCACACGCGCGTGCCGCTGCCGTCCAACAAGTACTACGTCGTGCGCCCCCGCTCCACCTGCGACACCGACATGTCGCGCGTGAGTGCACTCACCCACCCACTCACTCACTCCCTCACTCACCCACTCACTCACCCGCTCACTGCCCGGGCAATCGGCGCGCGCCGTGCCGCTGCCGTCCAACAAGGACTATGTCGTGAGGCCCCGCTCCACCTGCGACACCGACATGTCGCGCGTGAGTGCACACTCCCACCCACTCACTCACCCCCTCATTCACCCCCTCACACAACCCTCACTCACACACTCACCCCTCACTCACCCACTCACACCCGCTCACTGCCCGGGCATACGGGGCGCGCGCGTGTCGCTGCCGTCCAACACGGACTTCGTCGTGCGCCCCCGTTCCACCTGCGACACCGACATGTCGCGCGTGAGTGCACACACCCACCCACTCACTCACCCCCCTCCCTCATCCCTTCACTCACCCCCTCACTCACCCACTCACCCCTCACTCACCCCCTCACTCACCCTCTCACTCACCCGCTCACTGCCCGGGCATCCGGTGCGCGCGCGTGTCGCTGCCGTCCAACAAGGACTACGTCGTGCGCCCCCGCTCCACCTCCGAAACCTATATGTCGCGCGTGAGTGCACACACCCACCCACTCACTCACCCCCTTACTCACCCCCTCACACACCCACTCACTCACCCGCTCTCTGCCCGGGCATCCGGCACACGCGCGTGCCGCTGCCGTCCAACAAGTACTACGTCGTGCGCCCCCGCTCCACCTGCGACACCGACATGTCGCGCGTGAGTGCACTCACCCACCCACTCACTCACTCCCTCACTCACCCACTCACTCACCCGCTCACTGCCCGGGCAATCGGCGCGCGCCGTGCCGCTGCCGTCCAACAAGGACTATGTCGTGAGGCCCCGCTCCACCTGCGACACCGACATGTCGCGCGTGAGTGCACACTCCCACCCACTCACTCACCCCCTCATTCACCCCCTCACACAACCCTCACTCACACACTCACTCACCCCTCACTCACCAACTCACTCACCCACTCACCCGCTCACTACCCGGGCATCAGGCGCGCGCGCGTGCTTCTGCCGTCCAAAAAGGACTACGTCGTGCGCCCTCGCTCCACCTGCGACACCGACATGTCGCGCGTGAGTGCACACACCCGCCCACTCACTCACCCATTCACCCACTCACCCACTCACTAACCCACTCACTAACCCACTTACTAACCCACTCACTCACTCACTCACTCACCTGCTCACTTAATTTTTTCATTATTTTGGGTTATTATCAGGAATATACTGCTGCCTATCTTCTGTTTCAGTTTACCTCTGTCACCACACCCACGGGACGGTATGAGGTAGTAGATTTTAGCCCTTGAGATGATAAAATGCAAGTGTGTTAAATTTCCAAGATCGTATTCATAAATTGTACCGTTTCATATCCGATTCGAAGGATATTTATTAAATTGATCACTATTACTCGTTTATCTTGTGTTCCTGTGAAATTACTCTAAAAAATCCCGTTACTCCTTATATATTTTTAAATAAATTTTATGTTCATGTTGGAAAAAGGTACAACGTTGTGAGTTTTTGATTTACAACTCCAGGTGAGCAAAAAGAAGATGACGCGCTATGAAAAGCAAATGAAGAAATTTATGGACCAGAAGCGGATGAAGAGCGGATCGAGACGCGCTGTTGAAATTTCAATAGAAGGTCGCAAGATGGCGCTGTGAAGAACGTGGTCGTGTACATACTGGGGAATATCATTGCACGTACATTTAATCAATGTGCGTCGTTCAGTTTCCGTCGGTCCGTCGTCTCATCGCCGACTAAGTGACGATGCGTCGACGCGGAACATTGTGATGTTGTGTATAAGTTATTTCGTTAAGATTAAATATAAATAAAACATTATGACTGATTGTGTTTGTATTCTTTTATCTAAATCTAATTCAATTAAATTGATTACACAACATAAACACCATTTAAAATGAAAACACTTAGAGCCATGCTGCAGTTATATTAATAGTATAGTTGTAGCACGAATGGGTCGGCTCGACCGGGGAAGGACCACGCTCTCACAGAATACCAGCGTGGAATGGCAGCTTAATGCTGCTGTGTTTCGTATGGTGAGTGTAGAGAACCGGAGACCCTTTACTGGAAAAGAGGCATTCTATCTTAGTCCTCACGGCTGACAACGCATCTGTATTTTAATTTGCAAACGGAGATAGATATACATGTCTATGGGCCGCAGCAACCACTTGCTATCAGGTGGACTGTGTGCTCGTTTGTCACCCTAATTCTATAAAAAAAACTACCAAAGGACTAGTGTACATGGTGTACAGCTTTACACTTACAAAAATCTTCACCTATACTATAGTTTCATTTCTAATGAACACATAATATATGTGTTAATGAGCATATAAATGAAACTCCAAATGTATGATGAAACGTATTGCATGTATTAGTTAAAAAAATATAAAAAAACATGCGTGAGTGTCGTGGAATACTCGGTTGAAACGAAATTCATTTCGTAGTATATTATTATTGTTAAACGTATTATACAGGATTACTGGGTTACTCGACAACTTCCTGGCAGGGCGTGATAGGAGAATCAAAACGCTACAAATTTGACCCCCCCCATATGTATGGCCCAAAATGAACAGGTCTTGAGATATACGGACTTTAAAGATTTTTCAACAATCGCCCAGAATTTGGAATTTAATTTTAAATAAAAATAAAACCTTTTTTTGTATGCAAGCTTATTTATTTTCTTGAAACTTCAATCAAGCGAATACTATCATAAGAAGTACAAAAAGTATTAACAATAAAAAAATATGGGTCTTAATCAAGGAGGTTACAATCTCCTTGGTCTTAATAAAAAATTTGACACTTTATGTATCATAAAATGTTATACTCTATTCCAATTACGAAGTCCCATTTGACAGATGTCGATAATCAAGTACTAGTAAAGTACCGCTATAATCGATACTTTATGATATTGATCTACGATTACTATAACGAACAAATTAAAATCGTATTGACAGAAAAAGGATTCGCATCAAATTAAAATTTATAAAACTGTTTTTTAATTTTAATTAGATAATATTACATGATATTTTTATCAAGATAGAACATATTCATCATCACTAGCCGAAATCGATATTTCATGGTCGGCATCGTCGTCATCATCCTCATCATCGTCTGTAGAATCTCATGTATTTATTATAATTTTGGTTATCTATGACGGTATCGATATGTATGTCTCTGTCCCAATCAGCGAAAATCAAATGTTTTGTTCGTAAAACCACACTTTCCAAATCGTTGCAGTAACACTATCACAAGCTTCTTGCAACAATGACAGCATTTTGTTTGCAGTAAACGGTGGGCTGGTATTTTTACGAGCCGCATAACCTAAAATAAAGGTTTGCGTGTTAATATAGCAACAGATAAAATGTTAAAATAGGTAAAAATAAATTATAAAAAACATTTGTTTAAATTCTTGCCTTTAATTTGCGCCCAAATAAATTCTATGGCATAGTATTGAGTATTGACAATGGTAGAGTGGAAGGCGCATTAAATTGTGTCCGGTTTCCTTAGCCATTTCGTCCAATACGTATTTTGGTCTAGCTGGCGTATTTATAGCAACCAAATGCAGCAGCTCAACTTTTAACATGGACATGTCAGCAACAATATTATTGTCATTCAGCCATTTCACAATATCGGCTTTTTTGCTGCTAGAAGTTGGAGGCTTACTTATTTGTACTGAATGATACGGTGCATTATCTATAATTTGTACCTTATTGACCAAATTGTCGATGGCTCATTCAAGTTGGTCAATAAGGTACAAAACCATTCCTTAAATTTAACAAAATTCATCTCTTCGTGGTATTCCACAGTTTTCTTAGATTTAAACGCCAAGAGGCAGTTCGGAACAAATCCCTTCATGGAACCCGCATGACAAATAATTAAGCGTTCGCCTTTGCCACTAGGTACTTTTGTGGAGGAGTGAGGAGTGTCGTCTGTCCATATCTTGCCAACTGTATGATTAGCGTTTAACCACGTCTCATCTAGAAATATAACATTATTCCAAACGGCAATGGACTTTGCTGATCTTAGAAAATTAAATCTGGCTAAAGCTATATCTCTACGTTCCATGAAAATCCGCCTTTTATCACATTTTTTATAAGAAAAGCCAACATTTTTTATAACCCTCTAGAAAGAAGTTCTACTGCCGTGAAACAGTCCAGATTCTCGTAAAGTATTTGACAATTTATCGAGAGTCGGCAATTCGTTCCTACTATAGTAGCCATAGATATGGTTTCTAATGGCGTCGTTATCAAAATTGTCGATATGTGTAACTATCGATCTTCTAACTTTTTTTCTTAAGTGGCGATTTTAATTTGTTATCTTCCATTAAATCTGTACCATGTCTTTCCTTACTTATTGGGGAAACAGTTTTTCGACTAATACCAAGAGCTGCACTTACTCGGTTAGTCACTTGTGAAAGTGGCAACAATGGACCACCATTCTGATACTCTCTTTCAAAGTAATCTTTTAGGCGTACTACAAACTCTCACGTTTGACTGCGAATCACTGTTCTTTTAGTGGTCTCAGTTTCGGCCATAGTGTTTATAAATTAAAAAAAAAACAAATCAAATAACAGTCAAAACTGAATAACAACGAAAGAATTCTCAAACAGTTATAACTATAATAACAAGAACGAAATAAAAACACGTGATCACGAGGTGGACGCAGTGTTGACAGATTTTCACTCGAGAAAAGAATCTGTCTATAATCGATTTTATACGATTCCTTTAGGCACGTCACTATGTAAAAAAGTAAAAATAAAACAACGTTCTAAGAAGTGTCAAAAGGGACTTCGTAATTCCATTGGCAGAATTCTAAAAAGAGGGGCCATAAAACTAAGAAAGAAGAAGAAAGAAGACTTCGTAATTGGAATATAGTATAGGTACTTTAAAAAATTACTATGACATGAGACATAAAAATATTTTAAAAAATATGCCCATTAAATCAGCTATCCAAAAAGGTAATAATATCCCGATAAATACATTTATTCATAAAGTACAGTCAATTAAACTAATGTGGGTAATTTCTAAACTTAAACAATTATTTTTGTAAGTTTTTTAAAGATTAAACATCTTGCTCAATATGAGTGCGGATACACGTCCTGATTCTTTTCCTAACTTCCGTTTTCGTTTTTTTTGAAGATATTGTAGCCCTCTGCTCTGCCGCATTTAAGATACGCCGTCGAAGTTCTTCAAGAGAATTCACTGGGGTCACGTAAGACATAGTCCTTCATGTGACCCCAAACGCAAATCTAGTGGCGTCAGATCAGAACTTCATGCAGGCCACAGAATTGGCCCTCCCCTCCTAATCCACCTGTTTGGGTATTGGCTATTTAGCCACTCTCGTACAGATAACTGGAAGTGAGCTAGACAGCCGTCATGCTGATAAATCAAATTACTTTTAATTTCTTCTGGAACATTTAATAAGTTTTCCAAATCATTTCGCTAAAAAAAAATCGTTTAGTTCCCCGTTTAAATTTTGTGGCATAAAATGGGGCCCGATAAGTTTGTCATTTACAATACCCATCCACAGGAAAATCTGCGCTGTGACGCTGTTTCTTAGAGTTTTTCTGAATTTTTGTCCACTTTCAGTGCCCACTAATGACGATTATGGTAGTTTGTAATACCATCTTGGTCAAATTTGAACTCGTACGTCCATAGAAAGTTTCTTAAAAAAATTTTTCGTCTGCGTCGGCTTTCAACATGAAACGACAAAACTAATCGCTGGTCACGTACAGCGTTTGTACCGATTAGTAATGATACGGATGTCGGCGTGACAGGTGCACCACCGACCATAACTTCCACTGGGACATACCGAGCCGGCGTGTTACAATGTTCGTTGAGATGTTAGGGTCGTCAATAAAATGTTGCATAATAATTATTGTTTTTTCATTGTCAGCCGTAAAACGTGGATAAGTAGCTTCGAAGACAGAAACGTGAGGAAGCCGGCGATCAGCAAAGCGACGTTGATATTCTCTACGAGCCCCAGCAGCGTTGCCGTCAGCAAATCCATAACAGTGTTACGAACTTGGGGTTCGAGACAATTATAAACTGCCGAGTGAATTACCAAAATTGACACTGATGGCGCTAGTGGTAACTAGTGTCAGCATGTACCAGGCATTAATTGTCGCGCGCAACAATAGTAAGTGACGTCGGAATATTCTTTATTAGAATTTGACGCCATTTTAACTTCGACACAATAATAACAATAACGATAACGACTGAAAACAATTACAAATGAATTAACACGATAAGAGTTTATTAGTCCCGTGTAGTGGCGGGAAAGAATACTCACTACCCCATATCTTCCCGTGGGTGTCGTAAGAGGCGACAGAGGGAAACTGAGGCAGAGGATGGGCAGCAGCATCTTTCTGATAATAGCAAACAACAATAAAAAAACTGCTGTTGCCAACCCGCTCGCCAATCGTGGCAACTATGGCAATATACCCCCCATGAGAGTAACGAAGAGACGGCCCCCAGTCCCCGGCGGCCCCGCTATTCCTGGCTACGGTGGCGACCATGGTAACGGCGGGTCAGGGGGTGCTAAGAATCTCCGGTGGAGGTTCGGTTGCCACCTTAGACGACTCGACCTGGCAACGTAAAACGCACGCACCCTGAGGACTGACGAGAAGATCGTGGAGCTGGAA